ACACTGATGAGATCACAGATTCAGCAAAGTATTAAAGCCTTGTATCAATTCCAAAGCACATCAGGGAATGTACAACAGCAAAGGCAACCAGGCATATATTTTTTCTATCATTTATTTCAACCTTTATTTTCACTTCAGTATTGTGGGCAAATATTACCTTTGAATCCTTCCTTTGAAATATCTAGGACCAATAGCTACTATTGCTTTCTCCCTGGATTTCCCAGCTCATATCTTATCAATCAACAAGCATTTATTAAATTGCTACAGTGTTCCAGGTGTTATGCTAAGTTCTGAGGATGCAAAGACAAAAACGAAAAAGTCCCTGCCCTCAAGGAATTTTCTATTAGGGAGACAACGTGTGTGTGTGTGTGTGTGTGTGTGTGTGTGTGTGTGTGTATGTACATATAGGCTATATAAAACAAATATATAGTAACTTTGGGACAGACAGCACTAGGAGCCGGGGCTGGAGCGATCTAAAAAGATCTTTGTAAAGTATAAAGTGCTATGTAAATATGAGCTAGTATTCTGTCCTCTTTTTCTGGTGGACTTCATTGACACTCCATCTTTTTGTCCCATCTGTTCATTGCCACTGCTAACTCATAATACACCTTCCCTTAATACTCTGCATCTGTGCAGGCCAGAGGCCAAATTATCAAGTTCCATGGATTTCTCCCATCACAATATCTCTCCCTTTTTCCACCCAATTCCCACTGCTAGTTACAAGCTCTCATTACCAACCCTGCCAATGCTCCTAAGTGGATTTTCCACTCCTAATCTGCTTCTAATTCCAATACTAGAATAATCTAGCATGGTACTCCTCAAAAATCTTCAGTCTCTCCACTGTTTCCTGAATTAGGTTCAAATTCCTCTCTGGTATTCAAGGCCCTGCTCCATCTAGTGCCTCTGTATCTTTCCAACCCTTTCTCAAATTCCTTTCCACATATCAGTAGCACCTATCTCACAGAATGGTTGTGAAGATTAAATAATATGTTAATGTTGATGGTTATTAATATGCTCCAATCCAACTGAATTACGTTCTGTACTTTCCCACCACCATAATAACTCACATTTCTATAGGGCTTTCAGTTTTACAAGTATTTTACATTGTCTCATTTAATACAAAAACCCAGAGAGAAAGGTGCTGCTATTATCCCTACTTACAGATGAGGAGACTTGAGGCTCACATGGAGGCTCAGTAACCTAGCTAGTAGTAAATTTCTGAAGCATAGGGTTTGAATCTAGGTTGTTCTTCCTGGCTGACCCTGATATCCTGATACAACACTACTTCTTATAGTATTTCTTTGCTCACATTATTTCTCCATGTCTGCTATGTCTACTCTCTTAACCTGTTATACTGTTGCCTATCTTTTAAAGTCTAAGTCAAATGTCAGCTCTGCTATGGATCATTCCATGACTCCCCTGGTCACTAATGACTGAAATCCTCCTCCTGCTGCCATAATATCACTTTGTTTTGCAATTTTATGATGCATTTATCATGTGATATTGTGTAATGTAGTGATACACACACACACATTACATACATATACATTTTGGCAATTGGGGTTAAGTGACTTGCCCAGGGTCACAAAGCTAGTAAGTGTCAAGTGTTTGGTCTGAGGCCAGATTTGAACTCAGTTTCCTCCTGACTATAGGGCCAGTGCTCTATCCACTTTGACACCTAGCTGCCCCTATACATTTGTTTCATCCCTCCAGGAAACTCAGTTGTATGACAGCAGGGACTATCCTCACCTATGTTTACTGAATGAATGGATAAAACTTAGGAATAAAAAAAAATACAGAGATCAGTTAATCTGTAAAGAAAAGTAATAAATACATTGTATACAGATTCCAAATATAAATTTGCTTACAATTCTCTTTCTAGGTAACATTTTAAGTCCTATGCAGTATCTTCATTGTCTTCCCTTGATACAGTGGAGATGCTTAATACCTGACTTGAAACTGTACTTCCACTAAAACCTCATTTATATAAGAGCACAGAATGTAGAGCTATAAAGATCACCCAGTCCAATCCTATCATTTTACAGAGGAGGATACTACCTGCCAGAGAAGTAGGATGATTAGCTCAAGGCTATTCAAACAGTAAATTTAAGAGCTAATATTTGAATCCAGGTCTTCTAACTTCAAATCCAGTGTTCTTCCTCACTAAATCACCCTGACCTATAATAAATAGAATGCTGCCAGCTAGAAATTTAGGTCTATCTAGGAATCCCATCTAGGTGAGGTACCTAGGTACCAATATACAGTTGCAGTTGTGCCATTGTCTCCCTCCTCCCCCTTGAGACCTGTCAGTTACAAATCCCCACCTTAAGAATTCCTTGATCTCAAGAAACCTTTAAATTATTGATCAGGTTTTCAAGGTACCTTGATATCAGGAAGAGGGTATCCTGGCCATTGTGCTTGAATGTTTTGGTTTTTAGAGCAGGCTATCCTCTAATAATAACCACCTGGTGTTATTTTACAAATCAATCTTATGTGAATTTGCTTAGCTTTACTAAGTTTCCAGAGCCTGTCACATGGGATGAATTGGTAAAAGTGACTTCCTGAATGTGCAAAGTTGAAAATAAGACCCTGTACTGTGGTTTCCCCACGAAGTACATACCCTACTGGAAAACAAAACAACCATTTTACATTTGCTAAAACTTTCAATTATGTTGTTCAGAGGGTCTGTTTGCCTAATATTAATCGTCCTTTTCAATTACCAAACAGAAGATCTGATAAACAAACAGGATCTTTCTCCTTCTAGTTATCAGTATTAAGTGGTAGGAAAAAGACCTGGCTTCCTAAAAGAAGGTGAGGAAAGGCTTACAAACTGCATCTGCTATTCCTTCAATTAGAAATAGAAGAGAGTGGTGAGGAAAAGAAAGGTATAAGGATCACATCTCTCCTATGGGGCAGGGGAAGAAGCACAAGGAACACCAAGATTTTGCAGAGCTTAAGGAAAGTGAAATCGAGACACAAGGTGGCACAGTAAGAAGGGAGCACTGTGTGCCAGGCATTGTGCTAGGAGGCCCTGAAGGAGACAAGAATAAACAAGATCACCTCTAATGGGGCTTACCATTCTAGTAGAGAGGATGAGACCTACACATAAATGTAATGCAAATCATAGCACAAATAGCACATAAAGGTATATACACTTCTATTTTGCTGGGGTTGGGATCCTGGCAGTAGCAAAATCTACTGAGAACCACTACTGATACACCATGGTGCTCTGCTTCTCAACTTTTGGGAAAGCCCCATAAATTGAAATTAAGTACAGCAGGGATGAGGAGGCAGGTCACCTCTGTACCCAAGCTCTGTGGGTGGAATATTTGATTTCCTGCTTTAACACAGTACAAGGCCTCAGCTGAGGCATGGTTTCCCTTTCGTGTGGGCAGCCTCTGGACTCCCCACAAAACTATTATGTTAAAAGAGAGTGGCAAAAGTACTAGCAAAGGTAGTTCAACTAGAAATATGTCCACCATGATGTCATTGTCTGGGTAAAGAATTCTGGCTCTGGTGGATAGGATAAACGTGAATGTAAACATAGCATTGGGGTCTGTTGCTGACTTTTTATGTCTAACTTCTGGCAAACCACCTCTCTCCTCTTTCAGTTTCATCCCCTTATTTAAAAATGAGTTGACTAGCTGGCTCCTAACTAGTTACCAAAGAAAAGAGAAACAAGCAAAGTGACAAGTTATGTCAATTCAAGTATTGTAGCCTATGACCAGTCTAGCACTATGCTGGGGCAGGAGAGTAACAAAAAACAAACAAAAAAAACCCCCCCAAAACCTTTAAGATTCTGAGAACTTGATAGCTGACGGCATTCCAGCACCAAAGTTTTGGCTTTTTTGCCTCGGTTTTCCCCATTTCTTCCCAATTACCTCCATCTTCGGCTCCAAATTACACTGTCCTACTTGCACAAAAATCATGCAAGTCTGCAGCTAATCCTGGAGGCTGCGGTTGTGTGCCAAAGTTCTTCCACTGTGGCAACTGAATTCCTGACTAAAATCTCCTCGAGAATATGTCAACTTTGGCTTAAGAAATCGATTCTGAGACACCACAAAACCCTTTGGAACCCACCCAAAGTTACAGTCTCTCCCAGGCCCAGTCCACACACTGGTGCAACCTCCCTGCAGTGTAGCATTACACTTTTGACAGACGGATAAGGCTGAGTCGAGTTGCCACGTTTAAGACCCGTCCTATGTCATTAAAATAAATTATATGAGTATACTTATACCATGCGTTCTAAAACAAAGCACTATTTCAATAACTGGGGGTAGGAGGGTTCCCTTCCCATTCTCAGTTAGGAAATTTTTTTTACCTCTTTGATTAAGACATTTCAGATGTAAGGACGGGAGGGGCAGAAATCGAACTCAAGACATATTTTGGGCGGTCCCGCGCTAACCATTTTTGTAGGTGGTTGAAAGCGGAAGGCATTTTTTTTTTTTTGCCAGCTAACAGGGTCCAAACTCCTAACCCACGCACTTTCCGATGCACATACAACGGCGTGTGGGGCTGCCGGACGGAGAACGTGGGTGGGTGGCGGCGCAGCAAGGAAAGCCCCCGGTCTTGGCAGCGTCCTCCCCCACCAGCCCAGTAAGTCAGCCTGAGCTCCGGGACATTTCCCCCTCCCCCCGACTCCCCCCAACCCGTGGCGGGGATCCGAGCACGCCAATCAAACCGAACCCTCCCGCCTCCCGCCAAGAGAGCAAGCGGAGAAAAGAAAAAAAGAAACAACAGAAAAGAAGCGAAGTCATCTCAGAATCCGTCCGCGCGGAGGCCGCCGGCTCGGGCTCCCGGCTAGCAGAGAGCAGCCTTCACGGCCCCGCAGGCCCAAAGGCAAGGCTGGAGGCGCCCGGTCCGCTCCCGACGCCAGCCGCGTGTCCTCGCGCCCCTCCCCGGCCCTCGCCCTCGGCCAGGCCAAAGCTGCGCCGCAAAGTTGTGCGAACGTCCCGTCCCGTCCCCCCACCCCCCGCCTCCCGCGCCTAGAACCTACTCACCGGCCACCGCCGGACCTGGGGTTCAGGGGGGAGCCTCGGGGACTTTTAAGGCAAAGCTGGGGGTGGCGGAGCGGGGAAAGGCGAAAGGGCGAAGGTAAAAAGGAAGCCCGGCAGCGGCAGCGGCGAAGGCGCCCTAGGCTCCGGCTGCTACCCGAGCTCGGCTCCTGCTCTGCCAGGGACTGCGCTGCAACAAAGGACTTCCGCTGCCGCACAGCCGCGCCTGCTGCACCGCACTGAGCCGGCCCCGCTTACGCGGCGACTCAGGGTCTGCCCACCCGTTCGCTGGCGGCGGCGGCGGCGTCCGCCAGCTTTCCCCTCCCTCCCTTCCTCCCCTCCCGCCCACCCACTCCCTCCTCAGTAGCTCGCTCGCTCGCTCCTAGGGGCACTCGCGGCAGCTTGTGGCTCTGCAACAAGTTTCTGCGTCGGGGCTGGCGCTATCCGCGCTGGGAGGGCTTCACAAACTTCGAGAAGGGATGGGAAGGGATGATTTCGGGATCCTTCCTTGCAGTGTTTCTGTTTTTTGAGTTTTTTTTTATTCTACGGCTGTATACGTAAGGTAGTTGGTTAGGCTGGAGTTCCGAACTCCCCCCGGGGTCCGGATGCTGCCTTTTTTTTTTTTTTTTCCGGGTCCCACACGTTATGAAGGGACTCTTCTTGGCTCCTCAGGTTTGCAAGCACAGGCGCCGTGGCAATGTTTCTATTCGGAAAACACTAAAACGCCCGTGGGCTGTGCCCTGCGGTAGGCTCTGGGGTCGCAAAAACGCCAACCCTCCGCCCCAGTTACCCTGACAGCCCCCACCCTCTTTGGTTCCGCAGCCTGTTGAATCGGAGCCACTCAGCCCTTCATGCTGCACTCTGCCCAACATTGCGCTGGTGTCCAGGCACCAAGGATCAGTGGTCTTAGCCTGAGATTCCACCCCCAGCCTTATCACAACCAGGAGTCAGCTTCACTGGTCTTCTCCCACCCTCACGTTTCTCCGCAGGGAAACCCATGCTTTTTGTACGCTTTTAATAAGTCAGCGAAGGGAGAGGGTATGCGCGTGCGCTCCCAAGCGTGTATTCCGCCAGCCAACGTACAAACCCGGTCCCTACATTTTAGGACCCGAGCCGCGGCGGCTGGAGCAACGCAAAGTAAAGCCTCTTCCATCCAGCCACCTGCGCGCTTACCGTACGCACGCATGCCCTCATTTTCGAGTCTCATTTCCCCCACTACGACCACGCGCGCGGTCACGTGGGCCATCTCCTACGGCGGGGGCGGGGAGGGGTGTCGCGTGAAGCCGCGCGAGACCCGGGGCCGCTGGGTGAGCGCGCGAGCCGCTGCCAGGCCCCCAGCTAGGAGCCTGCAACTCCCCCCGCCCCCCTCGCCCGTTCCCCCTCCCCCCACTCTCCTTCCCGGCCCCTCCCCCGCCGAGCAGCGGGCAGTGCCGCGGCGGCACCTGGGTAAGGGATGCACCTCCATAGCCCTTTTGGGTTTCTCCGTTCCGGTTGCAGACTCCGGGCGTGAGCCGCTCCGCGGAGGCTTGCAAGCTTCCAGCACCCGTCGCGAGACCGATGCAAGTAGCTCCGGGAAGAGGGGTGGGTTTTTTGTTTTTGTTTATTGGTTTTGTTTTTGTTTTTTGCTTTTTCTTTAGTTTTGGACGTGCATAAAAGGGAGGAGGAAAATGGCAACCAGAAGCGCCCTCCGAGGCCAGGATGCTCAGGATCTGCCCTCTCTACCCCCCCATCCCCGGGTGGCAGGGGGTGGTGCCCTTGGGGGCCGCAGTGTTGAGTGCATTCTGCCCGGGATGGTGCGGCCCCCACAGTGGGATGGGGGCCTGAAGACGGCCACCTTAAAGGGACAGCTACCTCTCACTAGAATCTGGAGCTTCTCCGTCTGTCTCAGGTGGGGGAGCCCCCAGGATTCTGCTTGGGCTCCCCTTACCTAGGGAAAGGGGGGACACAGGTTGAATCTGAGGATCCAGGTGTAGGGGACCTGCTGAAACAGGTTGCTTGCTTCTGGGATGCACTGCAAATCCTCCCCCTGCAAAGACACCGCCCCCCCCATCCAACCTGCCTGTGGTCCCTTCTCATTATGCAGAATCAAAGGGTGATGCTTCTTCCATCATTTAGCCCCGCCCCCTGCCCGGTTTGGGCTTGAACAATTCCCGAGGCACGAAGTTCTTCCCCATGACTCATTTCATTAGTTTATTGTCATCACCTTACACCAAGTTTAGTCTATGCAGTCAAGGACCTTTATCCTCCACCTGCCATTACTTTGCCACCATTTATTTACAGGTGTCATCATCATTTACCCAGTTCCATACAGTTTGACCACCCTCCCCAAATACTCCATACAGATTAGGCCAGTAGCTCTTCTGAGGCCTCTCAAGTCCCTTCATTTCCTTCCACGGGAATTTCTCAAGTGTCAAAAGTACAATTCAGAATATTGGATCTGGAAGGGAGCTTCCAGATAAACCAGGCCATCTCCCTCAATTGAGGAAACCGAGGCCCAGAGACTTTAATTAAGCATTTTACCCAAGGCTACACAACAGTGTACTGCCATCTCCCGACTTTTAGGGTCATTTTTCTTTTCTCTACATCATAACTTTCACATGGTAGGTACTTAAATTGTAAAAGAAATGAATTTTAATTACAGACTGTCATAGTGAATCAAGCAGTGCTAGTGTATGCCAATGCGTACCTTGAGTGAGTGTTTTAAGATAAAACCAAATATTTGGACATGATCAAAGACTACCTGTGTTGTGATTTGAGGAGCAAAAATGTGTCAGCCCCTCCCAGGGCTTGTTAATTGCCCTGAAATTCTTATTGTGAAGGCCTTGGTAGACCCTTTTGTGATCTGACACTGTCAGCCAACTAAAAATTAGCTCAATAAACATCTTTATAAGGATTGTTGTATACATTATATTAGGTACTAGACTTAATCCATCCTAATTTGCTCCTAGTCTGTTGATGGAATGAGGGGAAAAAAAGCCAAATTTGTAACCATGCCTATCTAAATCAGAGTAAAAAGGTTCTTCTGGAAGTTCTGATAGCATCCTCTAGGAATTTTCAAGTGCTTGGACTTTGTGATGCATTTTTTGGATGCAAGGAGATTTTTTTTTTTAATAGATGAGGAAACAAGTTAGGTGAAGGCAAATGATCTTTCCAGAATTATGGTTAATGAATAGTAAAGTCTTGACTTGAATTTTTATCTTCGAAATTTCAAACCCAGGGCTGATTTCCATTTTATGATGCTGCCTCTCAGCATTAAGTGTGGCTTGGTGGGTCTCTGTTCCTCCATCGTGATCCTCCATTTCCTGTCTCCATGTATTTGCATTGGTCATTCCCCACACTTAGAATCTATTCTCTTCTCACCTCCACTTCAAAGAATTTCCTCACTTCTTGAGCAGAACCAAGAAAACAATTTATACCACAACATTAATGTAAAAACAAACAGTTCTGAAAGGTTAAGCAACTTTGATAAATGCAATGGCCAACCACAATTCCAAAGGACTGCCTACCTCCAAGTGGAGAGATGATGGACAAAGATCCTTATATAATGAGTCATCTCACTTACAAGTCTTTTAAGACCATACCCAGACAGGCCCCATCCTACTTTTTGAGGTTTCCTTCTCACTGCTCTTCATCCGTAGCTTGTCAAAGTGGACTAAATATTCCCTAGACGTTTCTGTCTTGGGATTTTTATTTACAGTCACCTAGAAAACTCTCCCTCATTCCCCAGTCTTTGGATTCCTATTCTTTCAAGACTGGCTTAAGTGGCTTATCTTTGAAGTCCTAATCAGTGAATATTTGTTAAATGAATGAATGAATGAATGAGGATTAGGAACCTTGGGGAGGTGAGGGGAGAGATGATTCTAGGCATCAAAAGGGCAAGTGATTAGAGCCTGAGTGCTTAGAGAAGAGGGATGGCTGGGTATCACTTTGCCTACCTCATAGTTTGGTTTGGAGCAGGCCCAGTTTGAATGTGCATTATTAATGGGGAGGGCGGTTGTTGTCTCCTCCCTTCCCCTTTGGGATCGGGAAGGAAGGCTGAGGGAAGAGGCCTGTGACTGGGTTATTGGCGCCTGTGGTTCCAGGACTTTCTGTTGCCCTTGAAAAGTGGAGTGGCACTCTCCCTATCCCAGCCCCAGAGTTGGGGGATGCTAAAGGAGCCAGGCTGTCTAGATGGGAGGAGGGGCCTAAGTGTCTGGGCCATTAAAAAAAAAAAGTCCTGGTCAGAGCTGTGCTGGGAAGTGTTACATAATACTTTTCCTGCTGTTAAACTGAATTGATTTAATGTGACCTGGAGGTGTCACACTTGGTAATGAAAAATTCATCCATTTTATAAAATGGATTAGGTTCAGAAAAGAGGGGCTTTATGTTGCTTCCAAGTGAATTCTGTGAAGACAATATTACTTCTAATTAAAAAAAAAGAAAGAAGGAAAAATCTACAGTAGAAAACATTGCAATCCTTCTTGCTTGCTAAGTTACTGAAAGTAAGGAGGGAAAAGAAGGTAGAAATATTGATTAAATTATTTTCTAACTTTGTGTTAATTCTAAGTTATATGAACATCTTATCTTTTAGTTCCTATTGTACTATGGTCATTCTATGAATTCTCTGCAGTTGATTTGCTTTCTGTAATAAGTTGATTTATGATGTTATACATAATATAAATAATAGTTATCATTAATATATAATGATATTATACGAAGAAACTCAGAGTACTTCAAGTACAGTGTCTTTTTAGCCCCTAAGGAATAATGACTTCCTGGTGTATTATATAGTTGGATTGAGGAAGAAGACTGAGTTCATATCAGATCTTTTTCAACTCTGACATTGTGCTGTGGGTGTGGCTTTTACATTGCTGTTTTCTTAAATCCCTCTTTTTTTAGATGTCCATGATCTTATTTTCTGTTCATGAGTAATAAAAGAGAAGTACCCTAGCTTAATAGAAGATCCTATCCTAGAGTTAAGATTCAATGCGTGCTTCTGACGTATATTGTGTGATTATGAACAAGTTGTTATATTTTGCAGATGAGTTGCTGATCTGCATCTGTGAAGGGGTATTCTACACCTGGAGGAAAGTCTTTAGATTGATGAAATCACAGGTTCTTCACTTCCCCTTCCCCCCCCCAAAATCATAGTCATATCTTTCAATTACCTAAACAAGTATATATATAATATATATGTATGTGTGTGTGTGTGTGTGTGTGTATTATATATCCTTATTTTTTCCTACTGAAGGTTGCTGGTGTTTTTTAGTCAGTCAATTAACTAGCATTTATTAAGTGCCTACTATGTGCCACGCACAGTTCTAAGTGCTGATGACATGAAGAAAATCAAAAGAAAGTCCATACTCTTAAAGAGCTTACAGTCTAATGGGTGAGACAACAGGTAAACAACTATGTACAAACAAGTTCTGCACATTACTTTGGCTGTAAATCAAGAGAGGCAAGGCAGTGGCATTGAGGGGACTCAGAAAGGCTTCCTTCAGAAGATAGAACTTTAGTTGAGACCTGAAGGAAGTCAGAGAAACCAGGAGGTGCAGATGAAGGGGGAAAGAGTGCTAGATCCATTTATATTTTTGTTCTAGTGGTGGTGGTGGTGTTAAGTCATGTTCAACTCTTTGTGACACTGTTTTGGGGTTCCCTTGGCAAAGATGCTGGAATGGTTTGCCATTTCCTTCTTCAATTCGTTTTACAGATGAGGAACTGAGGCAAACAAGGTTAAATGACTTGCCCAGGGTCATACAGCTAGTAAGTGTCTGAGATGGGATTTAAACTCAGGAAGATGAGTCTTTCTGATTTCAGGCCTGGTGCTCTATCCACTTCACCACTGGTGTTAGCAAATTTTTTTTTTTTTTTTGGCCATAATTCTGGGGCTTCACCAGTATCCTAGGAGCTGTGGGATAGGTGCAGAGAACTTAACATCAACATTTGGGAGTTGCAAAGTTATAATTTTTCTGCCCCTTTAAGGATATCTGGAGCATTTCTTTCTCTCATCTCTCCTGCCTTGCATCAGTATTCTAAATATTTTTGATATTAAAGGGAATTCCTACACTTGGCTTAGATGAATACTTTGAACATTGGTTTCAGTCTTTGGATTTTTGCCCCTGGGTCATGTATTATAGACGTAAATATAGGGAGTTAGAAGTTAATGCTTTTAGGGAGCAGCTTGGTGGTGCAGTGGGTAGAGCACTGGCCCTGGATTCAGGAGGACCTGAGTTCAAATCCAGCCTCAGATACGTAACATTTACTAGCTGTGTGACCCTGGGCAAGTCACTTAACCCCATTGCCTAGCCAAAAATAAAGATCCCTAGAAGTTAATGCTTTTCACCAATATTTTCTTGGAAAAGATTTCTCAAAATGGTAATTTTTTTTGTTTGCAAGTAACTGATCTTGGGGTTTTAGACTCTGAATTAGTTATGCTGTTGATTTTTGAATATTTATCTTTATTATGTTTTGCATTCCTCTGATATAAAGAGAATTTACTAAACTCAGAATATTAGAGTTAGAAATGCTAACCTAAGTACTTCTGGCTTCTTGACTGTTCCAGAATAAACTGATTTCATAGTGCCTCATATATCATACACACA